AATAGGATCGTTAGCTATATGATGTGACCCAGAGGAAAAGTAGTAGTAGACCAGTGAAAGACCAGTGACAGACCAGGGCACTGTGGAATTTGAGGCTAATAGATAAAACTAGCCCTGAAACCAGTAACACTGGTCATCATCTCAACCAGTATTGGTTATGGAACTAGTAATACTGATCAAGGTGCCATTACTGGTTAAAATACCTGTTGAGATGCAGTGTGTTCGAAATGCACAATACGACACCAGTTTGTATGCAGTAAGTATTACTGTTTGTGGTATTATATGCAGGTGCTGCCCAAACAGATTCTCCTTGTTTTCCAGAGGTCAAACAAACTAGATTCACAAACTCCAAACGAGTTTGTAGACTTATTATTACAACCATAAAGGAGAGAATAGAGGCTGAGGTAGAGCAGGAGAGCTGCAAAGGCAAACAGTGCGAGGCAGGATTGGTGAGAATGGGGAATTGGAGAATGTGGAATTGGGTTGTGCAGGACTTGTGGGGCTTTGAAACTGCGAGGATGGGGTATCAAGGGCAGGAGCTGTGATGGTGTGTACTGGGGGCTTGGGAGCTTTAAGAGTTGTGAGGAATTGGGGTGTGTGGGCCGTGAAGGTGGGCATTCGAGGAGGGGACAGGTATTGTGGGGGGGGGGGAATGGGGGAAGCAGGAGCTGTGATGCTGAAGAGTGGTTGGGTCAGGGACTGTGAGGTTGGAGGGCTGGGGATGCAGACCTGTGAGGCCAGAGAATAGTGGGGACAGGGACTGTGACAGTGGGGGTACTGGGGAGGCAGGAGCTGTGAGGCTGGAGAATAATGAGGATAGGGACTGTGAGGGTGGGGGGACTGGGGAGGCAGGAGCTGTGAGGCCGGAGAATAGTGGGGACAGGGAATGTGAGGGTGGGGGGCTGGGGAGGAGCTATGAGGCCAGAGAATAATGGGGTCAGGGAGTGTGAGGGTAGATGTCAAGCAGGGCATGAGCTGTCTAAAAACAATAAAAAGACAAACCAGATATTGAACATAATGCTCAAATGAATTTTAAATATGAGCATGCCAAATGACGCAAAGAGACAGAATGGGATTTACTGTGGAGCAAACCAAGTCTGTACTGGGAAGTCATAAAAATGGCTGGTGGCAGATTTTTGACCAACAGAATAATAAATGGTCACCTCCAGTATGAATCCAGACCTGACTGGATCAAAACCACCACACACCAGTATCCACTAGTAGAACTCACTGGGTTCATATGGGTTTCATACTTTTCATACTGGTTTATCACTCTGGGTTGGAAAGAAGTGATGTGGTCAACTCTAAACACCAAACTTTAGGAAGGATTTAGCGAGGGTGAAAAGATTTATCAGCATGATAGCCAGGATGGTAGTTGTGAAATGTCATGTTATGGGCAAAAGAGCCGAGTGGTCATGTTATGAATCAAGCAAGCCCATAGCATGTGGATAAGTGTGAAACCAACTTCAATTGGAAATCTGTATGCTACCATCACAGAACTATCATAAAAGCTGTCAGATTGTCATAAAGATGGTTCATTGATGCTATTCAGAAAAGGCAAACCTTTACTGCTCCCTTCTCAGACCTAAACCAGTCTCAAATGCCAAATGTTCTAACTCTTGGTAAGCTCTGACATGGCCTAGTCAGCAAATATGCAGAATTCCAGAGTTAATTCCATTCTGTGAGCAATATTTACCAAAAAAATGTCTGCAGTTTTTCATGGAGAAGGCCAACAACACCTGCTCAAGGCTGCTACAGATGATCAATAATTATCAGCTTCCACTGCACAAAAAATATGGCCTTGTCCACATTGCTTACATCTGCAGTTGCTAACTCTAGCTAGACATGTTTCAGGAGATTACATGACCTCATGTTCCCACAGTCATGCCATTGGTCACCTGGCACAACTAACCCTGCACAGCATACAGTAGCATTCCAATAACAATGCAAAAATCCTTTGTTGCCCAAATAGACGATTCCTAGCTGTTAGTCAATAGTTTTTATTTCTCATCTTTTAATACTTTTGTCTCTGACAAATGAAATTATTCAAAGAAAATGAGCAAAACAAAAAACCTTTGTTACCGCTACACTTGAAAACAGAAAACCAAAACAAAAAAACAAGAAACCTTTTGTTTTACCCCTTTAATTTTTTTCTTCTGGGTTTCATTGAATAGAGGTTAGTTTTAAATCCTGGTGTGTTGGCAAACCCATTCACATCCTAAGAACAAATATTTGCAAAATATGCATTCCTTATGAATGTACTTATAATGTTGCGCAGTGACCAAAAACACATCTTTGCTTCAGATAGAAATGGAAACTAAATGTATTATTTAAATGTTCTGTCAAGCACCTCATGAGTATGGAGATGAAATAAGCTGGGTAGAGGTAATTGTAATGAATATTTTCTGTTTACTTTTGGAAAAGTGTGTGCTTTACAGAGAAATGGTCTCTATTCCTTCCATTTCATCTTATGTTGTCATGTAATCTGCTGTAGCATGTTTGTGAAGGAAGACTCCCTGTAATATTCCTACAGAGTAAATGTAGCGTTACAGTGTCGTGGAACAGCGACCTAGGGGTTCAAGTATATACAATTTTCAAGTCTGTGTCACATATATAAAGGGTGGTTAAGATGTTTAGCATGCTTGCATTCATTGTTGAAACGTTTGAGTATAGGAGTCGGGATGTTACTTTGCGGTTGTGCAAGATGTTGGTAAGGCCTCTTCTGGAGTATTGTGTCTAATTCTGGTCGCCCTGTTATATGAAGGATATTATTAACTTTGAGAGGTTTCAAAAGAGATTTACTGGGATGTTGCTGGGAATGGAGGGTTTGAGTTATAAGGAGAGATTGGATAGGCTGGGACTTTTTTCCACTGGAGTGTAGATGACCTTACAGAAGTTTATAAAATCATTATGGGTATAGATAAGGTGAATAGTAGGTATCTTTTCCCTAGGGTGGTGAATTTCAAGACGAGGTGGCATATTTTTTAGGTGAGGTGGGGAAAGATTTAAAAAAGACATGAGGGGCAATTTTTTTACACAGACAGTGGTTCGTGTGTGGAATGAACTTCCAGCGGAATAGATAAATATGGGTACAGTTACAACACTTAAAAGACATTTAGATAAGTGCGTGAATAAGAAATGTTTCAAGGGATATGGGTCAAGCGCAGGCAGGTGGGATGAATTTGGTATGGGATTACGGTCAGCATGGACTTGTTGGACTGAAGGGTCTGTTTCCATGCTGTATGACTCTAAATGGCCTTTTTTCCTTCAACTGAAAATTGGCAAATTTAAGGAAAACAATTTTGTGAAACATGAACTACCCTGAACAATCAGCGCTGCATTCCTAATCAAACTGTATTGTGGCTTCAAACTATTCATTCAATAACTGAACAATGCTTTTAAAATCTAATGTATGAAATTTAATCCATTGTGCACTCAGAAATGGAATAAGTATTTGAGATCTAATTCCACCTCTATCATATTGCCCATCTCTGCCCCCTACTTCAGTCCAACTTGTGACGAAAAACTCATCTTTGCCTTTGTTACCCCATACTTGAATGTTCCAGTTGTCTCCTTACTGGCTTTCCACTTTGCAAAATCTGTGCACTCATTGAAATTTCTTTTGCGTGTATCCTTACTTGTACCAAATCCACTTTGCACACAACCCCTGTTCTCACTCACCTATATTGGCTCCTGGTTCAGCAACCCCATCAATGAATTTTTAAAAATCAAATAACGAGAGAGACGGACGTCAATAGACTATGAGTAACGTTGCTTTTTTGGATAATGTCACCAAAGAGCGGCAAGTAGTTGAGAAGTCAAGGGAGTCTTAGGATGAACACTTTCTGAAAACCAGAGATACTGATATGAGGGCAAGAAGATTAGCCACTGTAGAAGATTCTCTGGCTGCAACTGAATGGATAAGATTGAAACCAGCTAAGTTCAGTCTCATTCAGCTGGACCATGGAGGAGAGTTGTTAGAGTAGGATGCTAATGCAGACTTGTCAAATGATGCAGGCAGGTTAAGAAGGACAAGACAGGAACAGAAACAGTGATGTAGGATGTCACTTGTGAATTTGATGAGGACTGTTTCACTGCAGTGGTAGCAATTCAAGCATGGAGTTCAGAAAAGCTGGATTTGACAGATGAGAATATATTCAGTAGCCGATAGAATTCCATTGTCCTTGTGGAAATTTGCTGTGGGATTAATTATTTGGGTACGTCCATCAAGAATGAAGATACAAAACGCATCAGGAATATAACAATCAGTGTCCCTATAGTGACATTGCAGCCAAAAGAGAATAATGATCTAAAGAAAGAATCCTAGATCCTCATGCTCGCTGCCAGCACAGTTGCATCCGTTGCTATGTCTAAATTGGTGATGTTTCTACATCCTCTAGATTGTCTCCTGTACCATGCGTCAATGATATTCTGAGGGGAATGCAGAGATGAGATGAATACAGAGTTTTGGGAAATCTCAATCCATGATTGTCACAGACCAGTAGCTGGCTCATGTTAAACCTTGTAATATTACTATTTCTCTTTTCTCATATAAATTCACAGCATACAGCATAGTAACAGACCCTTCAGTCCAACTATTCCATGCCGACCATGTTCCTAAATTAAACTAGTCCCACCTGTCTGTGTTTGGCCCATATCCCTCCAAGCCTTGCCTATTCATGTACTTATCCAAATGTCTTTTAAATGTTATAACTGTACCTGCATGCATCACTTCCACTGACTGTTCATTCCACACACAAACCATTCCCTGTATAAAAAAAGTTGCTCCTTATGTCCTTTTTGAAACTTTCTCCTCTATAGTTCCAGGCCTAGGAAGCCGCTTGCTTTTACTAGCCCACACCACTCTTGTGGGGAGGTATTTTAACTCAAAAAGCATCCCACTGTGCGGCAACAGCCCCAATGCAGCAATTCTTATCTGCTAGACCAGCTGGTCACAGCTACACTGTTGACCAAAAAGCCAGTCATGGAGAAATAGGGAGTGAGCGAGGTTAGGGAGATGGCAAGCCCCAGTTGTTGTTGATGGATCACTCCCACTCAACTGATCATGCTCTATCCGGCTACAGCCTTCTTTCAAACCGCTGCTACTTTTGTTCTCAATTCATTAGCATGCTTTGAACTAATATCTGTGTGATAATTCTGATCCATTATTTGATAACTGCCATTAATATCCTGCGGGTTACCGTTCAGCAGAAACTCAACCAGTGATATAAATAATGTAGCTAATTGTAGGTTAGAAGCTACGAATTCTCTGGTGAGTAAATCATCATCTACTCTTCCAAAGGCTGTGCCCCTTCAATAGGGCACAAGTGAGGCGTGTGATGAAGTATTGTGTACATGTGCGACAAAGTGTGAAATTTAAATGTAATTAAGCAGTGAGGTTGATGTGATTGTGTAAAGGAATTGAGTGAACATACAGGGCTGAGGAAAGTATCTGCTGATATTAATTCAGTTCATGATATTGTCAAGCTCAGTGGATTTCTAAGCCAATTTTCATAAGCCAGTTTTCCCTGATGTCATCAGTAAGCATATTAAATACATGATGGAAATATTAAATAAATTAATGGAAATGGGAAGACATGATATCTAAGATAGCTACTTCTTTATTAAAATTTGATTTTTAATGTGCTGCTGATGATGGGAATCTGGAGGTACTGAAATGTGTTATATTGCTAAACACGTCCTCTGGAATATAATTCCATAACATGTCCTTCTATGTAAATTATAGTTCTTTCATCTTAAAAGGATACTACCCGGATATTTAGATTAAATAAATTCTTTGAGACGTTGCTTTTTATGTTGGGGACGCAGGGAGTATGCCAGTCTGAATCTGTAATGCCCCTCCCCCTCCAAATGACATGCATAAGTAATACATTTTGATGAAATTTTCAATGTCATACCTTGAGCTTGTTATATCTTCATTTTACATCTTTTTTCATAAGAACGATGCCCTTTTGAAATAATGAACTATGATTGTTAGCAATCACTTTGGATTATCTTGAAAAGAAGCTGCTCTATGCTGTAATGATTGGCATCTGAATTGTGCTGCTTTTCTTGGTTATTGGTAGACTCCGTTTTATAAAGTAAGATGAAAAGTAGGATAGTGATTTTAATCATATGGAAAATAATATTTGGGTGTCAGATTCTCAGTCCAGTATACCAGGAAGCACTATGCAGTTTAGGGGGTCATCTGAATCTGCCTGTCAATGCCATCAATATTTTAGGAATTGATAAATTCCAGTAACGCTACGGAAGCAGCCTACAGAACAATCAATAATTACAAGTTATGGGTGCAGTTACGTTCCACTCACTTAATTTGTAATTGTTATAAAGTACAATGACATATCCATGCAGGGTTGCGAGAATCATTAAGCCTATGTTAATGCTTCACAAGTATCATTAGAGTTGCCATTGCTACCAAAAGGAGGAATATTCCATTTCCAGTGGGGGAGTCGATGAGGGTACAAAATTAAATCTCCTCAGATATCAAAGATGGAATTGTCCATGCAATTGACTCTAAGGAGCCAAGGTATGACTAATGTGTGAAGTTTCCATCACTATGAGAGAGCATGATTGTATTTCTCTCTCATACAGCTCACACACAAGGATTATATACCACTAGAGAATTATTCTTCCCTTGTGTAAAAGGACAGTAAATATGCATGATCCAACATTACTCCACCTTTAGCCAGTCAGAAATTGAAAACTGTTGTCTTCTTCATTAAAGTGTTAACTCGTTTATTAAAGGAAAAATACCTCTGTAGTTACAACCACAGCCACTAACATGTTGGTAAACAAAATGACACATTGTGCGATTAGAGCTGTATATGAGTCAAGTGCTAACTTTTTGGATGCTTGGCCTGCTTGTTTTTGAAGGAGACACAGTAGACCAACTTGAACACGAACTTGCACAAAAATATTTCCCATGTTTGTTTAATTGGGGTCACAGTGATATTGAGTTTAGTTCTAATTTTGGTCCTGTTTTCTAATTTTATGTAAATTAAAATTTATGCTAATGAATTAAAATCTGATGTGGAGGCATTCCAATCTCAAGAATCTCATTTGCAATATAACATATTTCTTTCACAATCACCTAACTTTTTCAGTACCTTATCGGGGTAAATCTTCACTACAGAAGATAGAAATGCATCAAATCAACTGTACAAGATTTTATTGGGAATTTCTCTGAGTATTTTGCTTAATTATGTCTTCTGTTGAAACAGAAATAAACTGATTTTCTTCTCGCTCCTACATTTTCATATTATGTTGCAAATGAAAACTTGCCATTTATCTGAGAGCAGCTTCCATTTATGCAGAGCCTTTAACATTGTGAAATCTCTCAAGGTACTCCATAGGTGTGCTATCAAACAAAAGGTGACAAAGAGCTAATAAAGACATATTTTGACAGATGACTAACAGCATAGTCAAACAGCAAGATTTGAAGAAGCATCTTAGAGGAGTAGAAAGCAGAAAAGAGGGAATTCCAGAACTTGGGGATCAGGCAACAGATGACACAGTGACCAATGGTGGAGTGATTAAAGTCAGAAATATACCGGAGGCAAGAACTGCAGCAATACAGTGACCTCAGTAGGTTGTACCGCTGGCTGAGCCTACAGAGAAGGGAGGGATGCTGAGTTGTGAAACAATGATTTTTTTTAAACTGAAGAACAGAAGCAAATGTAAACTAGCAAGCATGAGACAGATATGCGACAGGATTAAGTGTATGTTCATATACAAGCAGCATAAGTCTGACTGAAATAACGGGGATAACAAGGTGTAGAGCTGGATGGACACAGCAGGCCAAGCAGCATCATAGGAGCAGGAAGGCTTACGTTTCGGGCCTAGACTGAAGTGAGGTTTATGGAAGGTGGAAGATGCAAGGCTGCAGAGGAATCCATTAGGCTGGACAAACCTGAAGGTAACAAGAGGGTTTGACCAACAGGTGAATGGAGGGAAGGTGAGATCAAGCTAGGATACTGAGGTGATCTTTATCCCTACTATTTTACCTCCTTTTTTTATTCATTTGTGGGACATGGGTGTCACAAGTCGGTCCAAAATTTATGTCCATTCCTAGTTGCCCTTGAGAAGATGGTGGTGAGCTGCCTTCTTGAACCACTTCAGTCCATGTGCTGTAGGTAGACCCACAATGCCCTTAGGGAGGGAATTACAGGATTTTGACCTCACAGCAGTGAAGGAACATCACTATATTTCCAAGGTAGCACAGTTAGTGGTTTGGAGGGGAACTTGCAGTTGGTGGTGTTCCTATATATCTGATGCTCTTGCCCTTCTAGATGGAAGTGTTTGTGGGTTTGGAATGTGCTGTCTGAGGATCTTTGTTGAATTTCTGCAGTACATCTTTTACACAGGACACATTGCTGCTACAGAGCATTGAGAGATGCCAATCAAGCAGGCTGCTTTGTCCTGGATGGTGTCAAGCTTCTTGAGTGTTGTTGGAGCTGCACCAGACCAGGCAAGTGGAGAGTATTCCATCACACTTCTAACTTGTGCCTTGTGGATAATGGACAGGCTTTGGGGAGTCAGGAGGTGAGTTTCTTGTCACAGCATTCCTAGCCTCTGACCTGCTCTTGTAGCCACTGTGTTTAGGTGGTGAGTTCAGTTGAGTTTCTCATGAATGGTAACCTCCAAGGAAGTTGATAGTGGGGTAGTCAGTATTGATAACACTATTGAAAGTCAAGGGAAGTGCTTAGATTGTCTCTTACTAGAGATGGTCATTGATTGGCATTTGTGTGGTGCAAATGTTATTTGGGGTCACATTCAAAGATGTAGCAAAAGTGCATTCAGGGGACTGAGGTTAAACAGAGGAGCTCAGTACTTCCAAAGGAGGAGTTCTATTTATATTTGACAACAGAACTGCTTCAAATTTTGTGACTAAGTCTTACTTTAAGTATATAGTATTTGGAATGAAAATAAATGTATATTTAATTGTAAAAAAGACACGTTTGCTTTGTTGTATTAATAGTTGGAATCAATTTTTTTTTTTTGTTCTGCCATAATGATGGACTTTAACTGCTCTCTCAGTGCAGCAACTCCTACTACTTCATTCTTTTGCCAAATGGCAAGTAGTTTGGTACTGCTGACCCAGTATAATTAATTGGAACTGCACTAACTTCTTTTACTTTGATATCCAATAGAAAGCAACAAAAGAAAATATTCCATCATTCAGGATTGATCTGAGTATGCAACAGGACTGGTTACTATATGATTCATAGTTCCTAATAGCAATTGGCAATGGAAAGGAAGCTAAATTTCATTGTCAGTGAAGATACTTTTGATGGAACGAATGGGTGAAACTAACCAAGTATGTTGCAAGACATTTGCCAGACCTGAAATGGTAGGTTTCCTCAATGGTGTGATGCAGAAGTATAATGATTTCCTGTAGGAGGCATTATAGCCTTGATATATAATGTGTGTGAAGTAGAATGGCAAAGCAAAGGATGCTAAAACAATTCCCTGTAGCCATCTTCATCTTAGCGGTCTAGAGAAATGTTAGATTTGATTTTGGAGTCAAGATCCTATTTACAGAACCTGCAATCATTATAATGGTATTTTGGAAGCAGGTATAGTTCAGCACTTTCACTGTTCCTATTCACTTGGCAGTCTGCCATTTCAAGAGTAGACAATAGGTTGGTAACCAGCAGGATGCCATCGCCAACTACACAGTGCTGACACAGACCTCTTGATAGATTATGCTTCACCTGGCATGAGTACACAGGAAGGAAGTATCTTTGCAAAATGATAGGTTAATGAACAAGGGATGTTAGATTGGTACACAGTCTTATAATCTGCTTTCGATGTGCTTTGAGAGTCCTTTCACCTGCTAATTTTGAAGTTTTTCTTTGGCTTCTTTCTTCTAGGGGAGAAAGTGATACATCTTCATTACGGGGATATTCACTGAAAGCCACGCAAAATTTGCGGCAGGGAATCCAAAACGTCATGTGGACAGTGACCCCATATAATGCAAGGAATAAGATGGAAACTCAATTCATCATTTGCCATCAAATAGCATCAATCTAACATCAAACATCCCATGTTCTTCACAAAACCTGGTAAATGGGAGAGTTGCGCAATGTTTAATTTGTTCTACTATTCTGACATAACGCAAGGTTTGGGAAAATAATTTTGTATTGAGTGACTGACGTTTTATACCAACACTGAAGTGAATCGTAAGATGGCCCAGATTATGATAGACAGCAAAGAAATAAATAAAACTCCACTCTCCTGAATCAGGAAGTGTCAGGGCCTGATGACGAGTGTAGTTGGACAAAATCCCTCGAACCGAATTACATTCTGTCAACTAGATTTGACTTCATTCTTAACTGAACCCAGGGCAGGGATTTATATAAACCAAGATGTTGTAACTAACTGGCTTCTCTCGAGCCGTGCTGGGACCTGGGCAAATGAAACATTACTCCAGTAGCTGTTTGCCGGGGTGGGGGGGGAATGGAGTAGGAGAGTGTGTAAACCAGGAACGAAGGAAAGCCGCCGCAAGGTTTGAAGCTTCCACAGCAGCGAGAGGAGCGTTGCCACTTTAAGAGTCAGTCGATGAGACTGAACTGTCAGCAGCTCTGTTCCGCTGGGGAACCAACACGCCACTCTAGAAGATACACACTGAAGCAAAAGGAAGGCTTTTGCGCCAAAAAAAAATACAAGGTAGGATCTGTTTTACACCGTGGACCATCTGCTTGCAACTTTTTTTTTCCAAAAAAAAATTTGCACAATTGTAAAAGGTAACAGGCGCGGGTGTAATTGCATTTCTACATACAAACTGCAGTCAAGATGTGACTCTCCTTGGGTGGTATGAATACGGATCCGTGATCTCTGGTTTTAGTATTTCCTCATTAAATGTTCCCTGACATCTTGATCACTGCAAGTAATTGACTATTGAGAAGCTGTGATGTTAAAGGGCGTATTCACATGTAGAAGTGAATGCTTTTAACACTCAGCCCTGCTTTTATTTATTCCCCGTTTCTTGATCAGTGGAAACGGAGACGCTTTATAAATGCATCTGGGGAAAAATAATTTTCTGAATTCAGGTTATTTTAAGGCCTCAGTAGCTGACCACTCGAACCCCTTCCTGACCACTCAACGTCCTAAAACATTGACAGCGAATTCTTCTGGGTCCTACCGCCGGCAGGTTCATTATTAAATTGTATAAAAACCTGGGTTACAGGTTTGAGTGCCCTGTTTTATCGAGGCTGTGCACTCCCGATGTGAAGGAGTTACTTTAGCTATCCGGATGTTGGTGAGGGGGTAATGTGTCCCATTGAAAGGTGTTTGTGGCTTCGCTGCTAATAGCAGGTGCTCGTTGCAAAATGAACAGTAACTCATCAAGTCTGGTGCTAATAAGGAGTCAAACTACTGACTTCATTGGAGGGGCTCTTGTGGTACGGTGATAGTGGTCCTGAGCTCTGCCCTGGATTCAAGTCCCACCTGCTCTTGGGATGTTAAATAACGTTTCTGAACAGGTTGGTTAAAAACTACCTTGACTTCATGGCAACTACACCGGTGTTCTTTTAAGAAGAACCTGCTGGAGGTGATATCATTGCCTACATCGTAAAAGGCTGTGAGAGCAACACAGTGTAAAGAAGTTATGTATTTCCATAAAACAGCCTTCAACTGATAATAAACAATTGTACAAATAATTGTGGCTTCAGAATTTGTCATGTTGGATGCCAGATTAGTGGTTGTAGTTTTCAAGATTAAACAGTACTTTTTAAAATTGAAGCTTGAATTGAGGGATGGCAGCACTGTACCAGGAATCTGAATTCTTTTCTATTTCGGGGAGATAATGTTGACTTTAATTCTTTCTCTTCAAGGTACATACAGTGCAGCAGGACCAAATACAGAATAACTTGTTCTCTATACTGTCCCTAGAACAGGCATTATTCCTTATATAAAGGATACAGTCATTAATAAACAATTATCCTTCCAATAGTCCCACAGTTTGATTGGCAAATCATTAAAATAGTTTATGTTGTGCTTTCAGATTGTCCAAACTAACTTCTTTGAGGATCTAGCAGCTAGCTGTCAGAAGAGACTGTCACTTGATCAGGATGAGTAAATTTGAGACAGATCAAAGGATTGAATGGCTAATTCATTTCTTAGCTTTTTTTTAGTTTTATCTTTTTCGTCTTCCTTTTAAAAACAACCAGGAATAGACATATTTTTGATCAAAATACAACTTTTAATACCTGTTGTTTGAGTAATGGAAGTGATTATCATTTGAAATCCTACCTATGCATGGCTGTTAATTGAAACAAAAAAGTGCCAGAATGCTCAGCAGGTCTGGTAGCATATATAGAGTGAGAAACAGAGTTAATGCTTCAAATTGGCAAGTCTAGGGATGTTTCTGACAAAAGCTCAATGGCCTGAAATGTTAGTTCTGTTTCTTTCTCCATATACATTTCAGAAAGTCCTGAATATTCTCAGTAATTTCTGTTCGTATGAGTTTCCTAGCATTTGCAGTACATATGCTTGTATCAATACGAAATAAGATACTTCTTTTGATCAATATTATCATTGACTTAACATACCATGCACTGGCATATGACACATGCAAAAAGTTCAAGGTTATATTGAAATTGGATATTGTAAAATACAGAATGGTGAGGGAGCAGTTCAAAATTATCCAACTGAACTGTCTCACACATTTGTTGATTTGTCATCTTTTAAACAAGAGATTTAGGTCTGAGGTATCACTGATTGTGGTTTGGACATTAAGGTTTTGATTGCTGTATTATCAGTCTGGCCATCTTGAGGAAGAGCGTATGATTGATTCGTTTAAACAAAATGCCACAATCCTACAATTCTATTCTCTTTCTCTTGGACATTTTCCACATCAAACTTTGTCTGCAATCAGCAATCTAGCTAACTGCTTATTAGTTGCTTTTCATAGCTGTAAGCACTGAATTACAGAGTTCTTCTAGAAATTTTCTGAAATTAGGGAGCTTGAAAAGAAAACTTCAATGATCTAATGTTTTTAAAACTGCATCTCACATGGGGAGAAAAAACAGATGGCTCTCAAATGGCCAAGCCTCCAAATGAAACATGTGGAACTCAGGAAACATTGTTTAATAATTAGTCTCCCTCCTAAACCAATTTGTTGAGATTAAACCCATTCTTCACAGGGCTAGAGTCTTAAAGTCATTCATGCATAATTTAAACCAAAAGAACTGTGGATGCTGTACATCAGGACCAAAGACAGAAGTTGCTGGTAAAGCTCAGTAGGTCTGGCAGTATCTGTGAAGAGAAAATCAGAGTTAACGTTGCGGGTCCTGTGACCCTTTCTCAGAACAGTTCCGAGGAAGGGTCACCGGACCTGAAACATTAACTCTGATATTTTTCTTCACAGATGCTGCCAGACCTGCTGAGCTTTACCAGCAGCTTCTGTTTTTGTTCGTGCATAATTTGATCAGGCAATAAATAAGTAACTTTAAAATAAGAAGGCAGACATTGTAAGTCTTTCCTACTCCATTCCTACAATGGAGTACACGTGACAATAAATTGTATATTGTATTGAGCTGCCAAGTGGAGTAATTATTTAATTACAGAAAATGCTGAAAATATGTGGCTAGTCAAGCAGCATCCAGGAAAGAGAAGCAGAGTAAATGGGTTGAATGCATTTGGAGGTGAATGGTGGGGATGGGTTGAGAGGGTGGGGGCTTGGGAGTGCGCCTGCAAAATGATGAGGGAAGTTGGGTACCGTCACTTTCCTGACTCCGTGCTATTTTACCAATGTTGGGGAAGGTGGAGAATGACTCACCTACTCAGAGGTCAATTGAACTACTTAAGTATTTAAGAATCATGAACACGGCCCAGTCCATCATTCAAACCAGCCTTCCAACCATTGACTCCATCAATACTTCTCACTGCCTCAGAAAAATGACCAACGTGATCAAAGATCCCTCCCACCCCAGTTATATTCTCTTCCACCCTCTTCCGTCAGGCAGAAGATATAAATGTTGGAATACACATATGAATAGCTTGAAGAACAGCTTCTTCCTTGCTATTATCAGACTTTTGAACAGACCTCTCAAACGTTAATGTTGATCTCTCTCTCTCTGCACCTGCTTTGTGGCTGTATCCTGCACTCTGTTCTGCTACCCTGATGCACTTTGTATGGTATGATCTGTCTGTATAGCACGCAAAACAACACTTTTCACTGCATCTCAATAAACATGACAACAATAAATCAGCCAATCAACCAATTTAGGTACATTTGTATCTAAGATGGCTCCATAAGTGTCGACTTGTAAACTTTTCACTGTACTCATGTGAGTACATGTGACAATAAAACTAATTCTAATTCTAATTCCAGTAATTAAGAGTTTCTTCCATGGCATCTTATCAGCATTTAGTGGTCTCACTGCCATACGGTTAACCTTGGCAGGCTCCCTGGGAGCTCTGGTGGAGCTCATTTGAGTATATAATAGCCACAGAGCGTCTCCCAGAGGGAATAATGGCCACTGCAGCAACACCACTCCTATTTTCCTCCACTCCACTTAGTAGAAAGCCCAGCATACAGTATATTTCTTTGTCTTATTCCTCTCGTATTCCCAGCATTGGCCATTGCTCCAGATGGTGCTACTCAGGCTGTTGGGTGGGTGTAGCCCTCTATTAAAGGGTTAGCAACCTAGATGGCAACTAATTAGTTGCTTGACCTGCAAAAATGTGCTATGGAATCCTGCAAAGGTCAAGGCTGTGTCATCCCTGGCTTTCTGACCTGTTGTTAGGTCCCCTGCCCATGATGACAATATTCACTCCAATGTGTTAAATTGATAACTGTTATTATCAAAAAGGTAATTGACCCGAAATGTTGACTTCATTTCTGAATGTATAGATACTCCTAGCCCACTGACCATTTTAACTCCCCCTCCCACTCCCTTGGTCACATGTCCAACCTGGGCCTCCTCCAGTGCCACAATGATGCCACATGCAAGCTGGAGGAACAACACCTCATATTCCGCCTCGGGAGCCTACAGCTGTACAGCTGGATGGCCTAAACATAGAATTCACCAGTTTCAGTATCTCCCCACCTCCCGGCCTCATTCCATGTCCAACCCTCCCTCTCATCCCTGCCTCCTTGACCTGACACAACTTGCCTATCTTCTCCCCCACCTATCCACCCTACCCTTCCCACTGACCAATCCCCATTACCCCCTACCTGCATCCACCTATCACCATCCCACCTACCTTCCCCCAGCCCCAGCCCTCCTCCCTGTATTTATTTCCCTGCTTCCTTGCCTCTCCCCAGTCCTGGAGAAGGGTCCATGCCTGAAATGTCGACTTTACTGCTCCTCTAATGCTGCTTGGCCTGCTGTGTTCCTCCAGCTCCATGCTGTATTGACTCTGACTCCAGTGTCTGCAGTTCTTCCTATCTCCAAGTGACTTAATTTTTCTTTTGTCAGATTTCAATTTTCCATCACCCTCCCAGAAGGCATTGATTCCTTAATGTGGAATGATTCTATGAGTCCTTCTTTGGTACTTGCAAGCTATCAGCATGCCGACTGTGGAATTATCTGATAAGCTACTGATCACAGGGGACATCAAAGCTCAGCCTGAATCTGTCTATCTTTGACATCCAGCTGGGGTGACTGTGATCGGAGCAGAAGTGCTGGACTCACCCCTGCCTTCTGTAACCACAGGGCAGT